CGGTAGAACGCCGCCTTGCAAATTGTATAGAATTCCCCAATAGCTGGCGACCAAAGGCCACCCTGCTAATTGCAGTTGCCATATAATTCCCCAATAGCTGGCGGCCCAAGGCCACCCTGCTAATTGCAGTTGCCTACTAGCTAACTGCAAAACAATAGGAAATGCTGCAGTGCATAGTAGTTCTAACCAAAACGGGACCGCCAACCTTAGCAAGGGAGACCGGGGGCCGCCAACGTTAGGAAAAAAAAGTGGTCCGCCAATATTACCGGATGTGTTGTCAAGACCCCTTAGCCACACGCTTCACGTGCCACTTTACCTGCACAGCTGATCAAGCCCAAATCCCTCAACACCCGACCTGCTTTCGAGAGTCGGGAACCCGAGACGCTTTGGAGTGAAAGTTTCCGTTGTCGAAACTTCACGGTGCTCATGCTTCAGCAATAACTATATGAACATCCACACGAGCCGGCTTATTGCATGTCAAGCTGTTCTGGCATGTTCCGCAAACTCAGCACTTATTGATTTGAACAGTTGGGGCAATTGCGGCACAAGGCTCACAAGACCAGCCTGCAACACGAGCAGGCAAACGGTTGGACACGAAGGGAGCTCAGGCCCACTTGGCAGGGCAAACGAAATAGGCTTGTTCCGCGATCGAAGCGTTTGTCACAAGGGACAGGCATGGGGCCGAGTGCTGTCCCCGTCGAAATCCAAGAGATTACAAAAGATTGCCGATTGAGCCCAATCAAAATGCCCGATTGCGAAAGAGATGGCAGACTTTGCTGAAGGCATGTGTAGCCCTGTCCAGGAGTTGACAGGCGCCGAGCTGATGGACCAAGTGGAGGATGAGGGGAGTGGCAGTGTCGTTGCTGTCCCGCATTCGGGCGAAGCAAAAGCCGTAGTAACTTTGGTGATCCAAGTCTTCGCGCTGTTTGGAAACTGGCATTCATATGGAGGGAGGGAGGTCGTGGCCTGCAGTGGGTACAAGCACAACGTGGTCCAAGAGTGTGATCGACAGCCGATCTCATGCCTGAGCAGGAGCTGTTCCCCGTGACCGAGGCTATTTCAAGCGCACGACCGCTCCATGTTGCAGGCAGTTCTCCACTGATGCAACTGCGAGGCTTACCTGCAGAAGGTCATGGTGGAGATTTTGCGAGCATTAGCGCCGAATGCCTACGGCATGCATGCTTGTCGGTTGAACTGAAAGAATTTCGTGAGGCTGCAACCCGAAAGGATCTTGACAGGAGCTACTTTGCTTTCAAAGTGAAGTCCGCAAGGCATCTTCATGATGTCGTCGGGTTGCTGCACAGGGACGTCCAGCGCTCAGGTGCATTGGGTTCGGACAAGAATTCTGCTAGCTGTTCCGCTGAAGATCACTGGACCTTCCGACCAGCAAGGAATGCATGATGGAAGACTCCGTAGGTAGTGTGATTCATTTCAGTTGGGCCCTCCTGTCAAGTTTCACGGCTTGCAGGCCCAAGCACAGAGCAGGATTGACGAAGAGCAGTTCTAGACCGTGAGAAGAAGGTGGCCAGGTCTCGCACAACATCGATTACGGCGCACGAACTCACCGGTGTGTAACATGTTCGTGGAAAACGCTTACGTGCTAACAGTCCGGCACGACACTGTATGTGGAATGGACGGTTCATCGACGATGCGAGTCCTGCTGTGAACGTGGTTGCAGCCACTCGTTGTGTTGATTTCTGTGTTTCCGGGTCCCCGCTTTGAACGACGTTTGATTTCAAAGATGATGTATTATCTAAGCAAACAAGCAGGACAAATAGCTGCAAGCAGCCGGGAATGAAATTGTCAGCTGCTGCCCGATAAACTGGTAAACGAAGGATTCTTCGGTACTTGCTCCTCGTGGTGTTATGTAACTTATTTAGCCAGCCCTTTGTCTTTTCTTATGTGCACCTGAGAAATCAGAAATGTGTATTCGCATCTTGCTGCTTTTCGTTATTTGTATATTGCTTACTTGTTAGTTTGCCTTACATGCCCTGCATGTGTTTTTGTTGTGCCTTGCTTTGCCTTTTGCAGCTTATGCTGGCTTATGTTGCTGTACTCTTGTCATGTTCGCTCTATGTTTCCTTACATGAAACTTGTTCCTTAAACGCATCTGAACTTGCCTTTGTACCCCTCATTGTTGTGCTTTCGTAGCCATTGTTCTCCTCTTCACCTTTTTTGCCCATTCATCTGCGCCTCGTTTATCAAAGATTCGTGAGAGGTTTTCCTTGTGTGCCTCAGCTGCATGCTTGCACCTCTTGTCTGGACATGCAAGCTGAGTGGAACAAATCTGCGGATAAGAGTTCAGACCAAGCAAAAGAATCTAGTGAGATTTGGATACGCATGCTGCCGAACAACAAAGGGGATTGAGTGAACAAACTATGACACCTAGTGTAGGCCTTTCATGACAACCTTGCCAGGCAGATTCAAAACAATTGGTAAAAGTTGGACAGGCCTCGGCGACGTATGGATTACACCAGGAGAAACGTCACAAAGAGTTTATATCTTCGTGGGAGTTTTCGGGGCGAGCAGGCCAATGGAGTCTCCATCGAAGAACCGAGAAACTGGTATTCCTCGTCTGCAAGACACGGCACAAACCTCGGATCTACACATCCGCAGTCAGAACAGTCTTTCAACCAACTCCCATGATGACGGTGGTGCGGATCTGATTGGCTACCCCTTTTTCGGAAGTGCTGGCTGGACGGGCCATGAGGCGCGTCAATGCTGTGCACGGTAGCTGCTTTCCGAAGATGGCAAAGCGGAGTCCGAAACTTCGAACATCAGAGTGAAGCCTGCGGCCCAAGGTCAAGCTCTCCAATTTCCGATTTCGAAGCAAGGCAAACTTGCGGCAGGAGAGGTGGGGCTGCACACTGCGGCCCACTTTGCAGACAGGCTGAAGACGCTCCCCTTGCATTGCTGGACTTTGGCTTCGCCATGAGCCTCGGTGCCAGTCACAGCGGAGCAATTTTGCTCTTGACAGTTCGCTGTGATGGTGCTACATGGTTCTCACAAAAAGCGAGGCGAGGCATGGGATGGCGCAGTTTGTGGGACGTTGATGTTTATGGCTCCAGAGGCTTCAGTGCAGCTACCAAAGAACCACTCCAGCATCCCCGGGCTGTGCCACAAATGTGTCAGGTGGTGGGCGCCAGAGCTTCAGCACCCTACCTGGCAGCCATGGACTTGTGGGCTGCACCTCGTCCAATCATGTCCGGTGCCGGCTGAAGGTTGATGTTCGCTTGGCGTTCACAGCATGCTAGCCTCCCGTTTGTCAACCATGAGTGGCCTTTCTTGCCAAGGCTGGTGTTATTCTTTACGTGTTGCTCACGGGGGATTCGCACGAGGCTCAGCGGTAAAAGGCATGTAGGACACCATGAGTCTGTTTTCCCGGGAACTGGAGCCGAACTAGTTGCCGTTTGCGGAGGTCAAACCCATGAGCAGGACTTCGTTTGTCTTAAGTGAGCCTCCGAGGCCAGCGAATGAGGAGGAGGCGTCAGTGGGAGACGTTCATGCACCTTCCGCAATCGAGAAAGCAGAGTTCGCTGTGCCAACCAACGAGCATAGTGTCTGTCTGTGGAACTTCCGCAGTCCGTGGGACACAGAGTCGGGCGGAAAAGGCACCAAAGTAAGAACCTCATCCCAGTTGTTTTCCTTCGCGACCAGACGAGACCAATCCTTTGGGCACTTCAAACACGGGGCTGCCAGCGTCCGAATCTCACCCACACGCGGGCGTGGAACAAGCGAACTTGAAGCAGTCTTCGGGCAACTTGTATTTGGTGTTCAGTTGCTGAAGTTAGGCTTTGTTTGGACGTCTTCTGCACTGCACCGGACAGGGCTTAGGTCAAAGGCTACACCATAGAGTTGTAGAGCTAGTGATTGTCCTCGTCCAGCTGAGCGTAGAAATGCCTCCAGTTCGGCTTGTCAGTCTTCTGTTTCGGTACAGTTCAAGATCCGAGTGTTTCAATCGAGGATGCGCCACAGGCAATGTGGCCCCCCTTAGCCTCCCTGAAATGCTGAACATACAGCCCAGCGAAGAGAAACTCTGGAATTCTTCCTGTTTGTACTTGTGGTGCCCAGTCTTTGGCATTGGAGGGTGCCCGTCCTGATCTGCGAATCTTGTGGATGACTGTGGGTGATCAGCATCTCGGATCGTTTGTTCGATTAGGTTCGATTCTCGTCATGATTGTGATCGGTGATCGGTACCACGTGAACCACTCGGCAACTGTAGGTGCGAAGACTTGGCCGTGGAGGCAGTGAAGCTGGCTTGGCCCAGCACTTGGAACCCTCTATTCCTGGGTATTGCTTGTGCTCCTGTATCGTTTGTTGGTTTTGTTGCTTCGAGTGTCGCTTCCACATGCTTGCCGGGTTTCTCGTTCTATACAAATTCTAAGCAAGCATGACCTGAGTGTCTCTGGTTGCTGCAGGTTTTGTCCAAAGCACTGGCGGCAACGGAGTTGAAGGCTGCATCAGCCGAGTCTTTGCAACTGCTGAAGCAGTTGCTCGTGCTGGACAGCTGGGTTCGCTTGCTGTTGCTGCTGATGTTCGTGGTTTCCACCAGCGCTACGAGCAAATAGAATTTGGCGGCTAGGACCCCTCCCAGCGAACGACTGCAGAGCAAGCCCTCAAGCACCCGTGGTTCTCTACGAATGGTGAGCAGCACAAGGTGAACGTGTCCGGAGCTTGATGATATAGTCAGCGATAGACACGACTGCTACAAGTGTTGGCTGCCCTTCATCTCAGGCCAAGCTCGAAGTATCGGCTCGCCCGATCTGCCAGTAGGAACTCGGAGGCCTCACGGACGTAAAGATTGGCACACGTGATGTAGTATGTAAAGCCACGACAGGTCCTGACTCCCAGAGCATGGAGCCAAATTGGAGAAAAATCTGCGAAAAAGCCACAAGCCTACAGATGGTACGAGATGTACAAGCATGCGTTTCGTTTCTGATCTTCTTTCTCGCCTCTAGGGATCTTGGGCTTCTTGGCTAGCTAAATTTCCGTGCTAAGGCTGGACCTGCCCCAAACCTTCGCGCCACTCGAGCGGATCGTGTCTGAGGGCGTCGACGAGATCAAAGATTGATCGAACAGCCTACAGGGCTTGCCGAAATGTTCTTCAATCCTGCAAAGCTGAGCCCTTGCCATGCATTGCCTTTTGAAGCGCAAAGAGATGTTGGTAATCGCTCGAACTGAGCAGATTTCAAATTCAGCCGGCAGCGAATAGTCGGCTGCCAGGAGAGTGCACAAGCACCTCGAGGCATCTGGTTTTAACATGTGGAGCTGCAGTTTCTAGCTGAGCATGGACCGATGATGCAGGACATAATCGCTTCGATCACGTTGAAGTCGAAATGATGTCCGCGTGGCTAACAGCCTTGCCACACAAATTCCGCAAGCGGCAAGCAATGAGTATCATGGGCTCAGAAGGCCAAGCATCTGCGATAGTTGCGGCGGCATGTTTCGGCACAAGGGGAGATAGTGAAACAGCTCTGGAGGCATTGACTGCCATGAGGATAGATGCCCACAGGTTTGGTGACCACCTGGCTTGAGGAGAAGGCAGTGCTGATTCTTGATGTGCTGATAAGTTGATCGTTGCCCTTGCTCTCCATGTCGTCGCAGGGCTTCGGGTTCATTGCCCCGGACGATTCCAATCTTGGCGACCTCTTTGTCCACGTTAGCGAGCACATTCCTCGGTCAAACGGTCTGTAGTCCAGGGCAACTGAGGGCAACCAGGCACAGAAGGCCAGGCCGACATTCTTCTTGTCTTCCTCTGGCTACGAACATATGCAAAATATCTAGGGCTCAGTTGTCGGGATCCCCCAGTGTCTTGTTCAGTTGTAAATTTGAGTTCGCCGACCTCCAAACTCAATGCGGCACGATTTGGGTGTTTTCAATCTCATAAAGCTTCAACGAAATTTGTTTAGGGCTTTGGGAGGGGGTGTTAGTGACGGTGCTCTGAGTCCTGCAGGGTTTAGTGAATGTCGGGTTCGAGGCTTTGGATTGAGGGTTGGTGACGGCGAATGGATGTGCGGCGGATTCAGGCAGAGGGAAAGAGGTGGAGGGGGAGAGGTAGGAAGAGGGCAGCGAGGCAGGCACAGGACGCGGGGCGGCCGCGATCAAAGCTGAAGTTACTCGTGGTGCGTGGCTAAACAAGAATTTGGATATGCAGGATGTTTGGGCCGTGTGACAGTGTAGGCTTGATCCTGCTAGTCCTCTCATTCTGTGAATCGCCCAGTGTTCCAGCATTGAAGGTCCCCCAAGGCTTGCAACTAACATCGGTGGTAAACCACAGGCCCGAGCACAGCACCGCAGCAACAGCTTCCTCCACCTTTGTGCCGAAGACTCCAGCAAGTTCCTTAAGCGATGTCCATGAAGTGGGGAAAGAGATAAAGCCTCAGGTTGCGCGATGCGCGTGCCAATGGACTTGAGCGCGGTGACAGAGTCCACGCCTCTGGACTGGGCTCAACAGACAATGCATTCGGTATTCTGCGAATACCCGCAGATTCTGCCAGCAAGTACTCAGCGTCCAGGATTTGTCTTATTCGTCTCGGTTAGTGTTGCTATACCGACTTGATTCAACAGCACAGAGAGAACCCATGAACGAAAGACATGTCGCACCGGCACTAGCCATGTTCATGTCGCGGAGGATGGGTGATTACGAGGCTACGAGGCCCCATCTCATTGAGACACACGCATGTCAGGTTTCCCTCATGAGTTTGTGGCTCACGAAGGAGACACAAGAGGTTCAGCAGGTCATCCGGTTGCTCATACATTATTGGAGTTAAAACCCATTTGAGTGCACACATACAACCTTTATGGACTCGGCTAGGAAAGTCCGACAGGAGAGTATAAAACGTCAAGAACTGATTTGTATGAAGGCCAGCCCTCAGCAAACAAAAGCCAAGCAGCGACTTGTGCAACACCAGAGGCAGATTTTAACTAGCAGGATTCAACTACCACATTTGGTGCTACTGCTGTTCTCGGGTTTTCGTGTCTGAATTCTGGGCCAATTTCCGGTTGTCTTGAATGTCTGCCCTGGCCTCGTTGCTATGCGCATGCAAAGCAGCGCTTGTCTGGCACGATGGAGCGATGATCAAGCCCTGGGATCGGCGTGGCCCTGTCACTGTCACCTAAATCCTGTTTGCTTCAGGGTGAAATGTCCTAGGAAAGTTGCAGATCGAAGCATTTTGAAAGACTGAAGGCTACCCAACAAGATGCAAAATGAAAAACGCCGTCTTGCTGCTGGTTTACCACAGGTTGTCGCAATACTCGTGAAAAGCGTGAGCTTTTGTCCTTTGTGGTATGCAGGCAAATCTATCGTCTCGCGTGAGGCACGGGTCAGACCAGAAGTTACCACAAGAGTCCGGCTGAGCTTCAGCTGCGTGCATGCATCCGATATCATCCGATTGAGAGCCCAAGCAAGCAGCCTCAGCGGTTCAAGAGATGTGGTAGAACATCGCAGTAGCTGCTTCGTGCAGCCGGGTTGGAGTTTCCTTTGCAGTTAGAAGTGAAACTACTGATTGAAGACCGCGCGGGTGAGTAACGACTGAATCTGACTGAGTGACACTGCGGACGGGCCTTTGGGCGGGAGGCGAGAGGGAGTGAAGGTTGGGTGAGTGAGCTGGTTGGTTCTAGAGTTCAGTTTCTGCATCGGAAATACTTAGGAAATTCACAGCTGCACTAGAGCCTATTTGCATAGCCACTGCGAAGCCTGCCTGGAGGTGGCGTGCATATCCTCTTCATTAAGATATCGCTTGCTGCATGTACCCCGCTAATTTCCGAGGAGGTGGGTTGGGAGGCTGGTCGAGAAGCTGCGGCACCTTATGCACAAGCTAAAAGACAACGCACATCCGCTTTGACAGCCCCGACAGTGGAGCCAAACGTACTGCGACGTCTGCTGAAGTTGCCGAAGGGCCGGAGCAACGTGCATTGAATGCTTCTGCTGCGCTAGCTTGTCTCCTCGGATGCAATGGGTTCTGCCAGCAAGCCTGTCAACGGGATTGGCACGGGGTGGACACATGCCAGCGAGAAGCCGCCACCAAGAACTTTGCGTCGCCGAAACGCATCGTCCATGTGGGAGCCAATGGAGACACGTTGTTGAATCGTAACTGGATTAGCAGTAGTCCCTGATGTGGCTTCGATCGGGTGCGGTATTTATACACAAGCCTCAGCCGTATCGTATAAGAGGTATGCTTGCCTTGCTTGTGTTTCGCCGTATCAGTGCAGTATCACGTGTTGATGTACGCTTTTCCTGGCATGTTGCGGCTCTATTCAGAGTGTTTTGGAGCACTCAAGGAGTTTGCTGCATGGTTTGAGACCGCCGATCGCAGGACCTAGCAGGACCCAGGCAACCACAACCGACCGTATCCAACGCAAGTATTCCAAGTATTCAAGATGGTACGAGATGTGTGAATGTTTAGTTGGCGCGGTCGTCAAAGGCACGTGCAGGAAACACATGTTCCAGGAGCCAAGATGCCAGCTGTGAAGCCAATGAAAGTGATGCGAAGCCTCCCGCCAATGCGACTTTTGTGAGGTTCGTTTTGATGTGAAGCACAACCGCGAGAAAGGCTGGGCTGTAGAAGCAAGATGCAACCTTGCCAGAAGTGGCATCCGAAAGAAGGCACCAAGTTCACAGCGTTGGTTACTGTAAGCCGTGCAGTCGGTGCAACACGTTGTTGGATGAGCCAGTTGTTAAGTGGAGTCCAGATTTTTGATCGGTTTGTAGGCAAGAACTTGGCCGTGAATGTTGTTGTGGAAAAGAGTGGCGCCTCCAGTGGCGGCGGGCCCTGACCCCAGAAGGTCGAGCGTAAGAGTCGAGTCGAGGGCTCCAGCGTCCGCAGTGGCAATCGTCTTAGGCGCAAGCGCGACCGAGACAGCAGCCGAAATCGAGGCGCATCAAGCAGGGACCGCAACTATGCTGGAGAGAGCAGGTGTTGTCTCACAGCGGCAAGGCATGACCGGTCGCAATCGTAGATCGGGCTGGGCTCCCAGCATTTCACAGAGTCCAAATTGGACTGGACAAGTCCAAGCCTCACTGTGGCACTTCTGAGCAACTCCTGTAAGCCTGAGGGCGAAGTCGCGACAGCCGCAAAAGCAGCAGAAGCAGAAGCCCTGCAAGGACAGCAGACCCCCCGCGTGAACGTGTCGAGGGTTGTGAAGGTAGCTGTCCAGAGCGAAGACCCATCGCTGGGGACTATTCACGGCTTTTGTTTGCACTCAGCTCGGTATGCTGCGGACGGCTGGGCCTTGAGGCCCCACATCCTCTCCACATTCGGTGTCCTGCATCCAGCTTGACTTCATAAATCTCTTCCACAGTTCAATTCTTTTGCATGCTGCCTCACTGGAGAAAACCTGTACCGACAGAAGAGGCCCGTTTGCTTCATGCGAGTTTGGCAAAGCTGCCTGTTTGCCAGGCACAGGCGCTAGAGGAACGATGTATCAGTAAAGCAGCAGCCCCGAGCGTGGATGGAAATCAAAATACTCGAGCTTTTAGGCGTGGACTTTGGTATTCTGACATATTCCCAAGAAGGATGATGCATCCTTGGCGCTTTGCAGGAGGAGGCGGGACAACAGCAGCGAGAGGTCACGCCCAGCGCCTACAGGTAAAAAAACATGTATTGGTTTTCGGGCCTACTGCTTGGTGTGCATCCCACTTTCCCTCGTGAGCATCGGCTTTTGCTATGCTTGCAGCATAGTAGGGACTAGAGTAGTTACAAGTGCTAACGGGCCAAGTCCAGCCCGGTACCAGGCATACCAGTGAATGAGGGGCATAAAAAAAGGAGGCCACTGCAACAGTGTCATAAAATCGAAGCATCCCTTCACAGACGGAGAACGCATAGCAGGCGCAACGCTGCGCGCATTGCCAGTTAATGAAGAGGACTTGAAGAGGACGCCTCCCAGACGTTTGTAACTACACAGTTTTATCAGGAAAGGGACGGTAGAATCTTGCCCAACATGTCCGACATGAGACGATTGTTTGCTGTCATGTGTCATGGCTGGGGTCCACAAGACAGAATAAGAGGGAGGCAAGTTGCATTGTGCCGAAACTATGTAGAAAGCGGAATGGCACCGAGATGCCGAGGTGGA